TATAAGCCAAGTGGGTAGAAGAAAAGCTTACTGAAGCTAGCTAGCCCAGGCATCTCTGTGGCGGCTTTTAGGATAGCTGCAGCCATCAGAGCAGTCTCTGGCTAGCAGCTCCAAGTGACCTGTTAGGTTGCATCAGAGTCACTGAGATAGGATTGCAAACAGCCATAGGCTCTTTGGACAAGTGCTGTAGATCTCACTTAAATGTTAAAGTTCACATAATACCAATGGGGAGATCTCCCCATGTTTGCACTTATTCCCACTCCCCACATACATACACACACTCACAAATACACACGTAGCTAGAGGAATCATTTTCTTCTTCTGCTGAAAAACCTCTGCTGGCCCCACACTGTCTATAGGACAAAGGCTAGAATCATTGGATGGTCCTAATTCCTACTTTTGTCTTCATTTGTACCCTCCCCATCATTTTACTGAGGGTTGACACGCACTGACTAAGTGCTACCTCTGTGCCAGGGAGTAAGTACATTGTGGACAGAAAAGAAAACACATGTATGGATGTGGAAGAACCACAAAGCACTGTGTGTAGATGACAATTACAAGCAGCCCTTTACACTAGAATGAAAATGAAAGTTATAAAGTGGTGGTGATTGACACTGGAAAGGTCATAGGAGGAATGGGAGAGAGGGAATTTTGTGTGCCATGTTGAAATACCTGGAGTATATCTATAGAGATATGAAAATGCTGGTAAGTGCTGAGCAATGAAATAAAAGGGATAACTCTGTATTTTGGATACATTATCTAGTAGCAAGATGAATAGTAGACTTAGAGGCATGTGGTATAAATTTTGGAGTAGGGAAATAAACTAGGAAATTACTGTTAATAGCCAACTGTGAGAGGAGGAGAACATGCTCACGGGAAGCGGTGTACAGATGGAGGGAGCAGAGGGAGTAAGAAGATTTAGCAATTCAAACTGCCAGGTGTGATCGTGACTAGACAAGGTGCTCAGGAATAGGGAAGAGTCAATGATTTTTGGTTGGGGCAACTAGGAGAAGAATGGTCCATTAATAGCCTTGATGCTTACCCACTTTCTAAGATGTTCTGCACTTTTGTATTACGTGAGCTCCAAGATTATGCCTCAAGAGTAAATTTGCCAAAATTCTTCAGGGTTAGGTAGGCCCTCCTCTATTTTTTCATACTACTTTGTTCATTTTTTAAAAAAATATGTTTTATTGATTTTTTACAGAGAGGAAGGGAGAGGGATAGAGAGTTAGAAACATCGATGAGAGAGAAACATCGATCAGCTGCCTCCTGCACACTCCCTACTGGGGATGTGCCCGCAACCAAGGTACATGCCCTTGACTGGAATCGAACCCGGGACCCTTTGGTCCGCAGGCCGACGCTCTATCCACTGAGCCAAACCAGTCAGGGCCACTTTGTTCATTTTTACCTATTGCCTTTAATATACTATATTACCAGTGTAGATGCTTTTCTCCCACTAGATTATAAGTTTTTTGAAAACATAGACTGTATTTTACGTTTTATATTTCCAGTTCCTATTACATTTTCTGGAACAAACTGTAAGGCCTTAATTTGTTAAATTAATTAATTCACTCTTGTAAAGCTCAAAGATATCTCAAAGTGATCTTGCTTAAAATCAAACTATTTTTATGAAAGAATGCATTTATTTCTCCAGCCTTCAAGGCAGATTATTTGGTAGCCTTACTTAATATTTACTCCAGCCAATTCATCTGTATATCCTCTTGATTCTACTCCAAAGTCTATTTCAAATTTTCCAATCCACAGTTCAGGCAAGGACACTAAGAAATCTTGCATGCAGTGCCAACCTGCGGTAATCACCCAACTGGTCTCCCTGATCCCACTTTCTATCCCTCTCCAAATTATTCTCCCGCATGGAAATTAGAATACTATTTTAAAGGTATACATGCAATCATGTGTTTCTCCTTGTATTTAATAATAAATACTTATATCCTGGGCATATTCTACAAGGCTCTATCTGTCCTAGCCCCTGAGGCCTTTCTGATCTCTTCTGACACCATTTTCCCATTTGCTTCCCCATATGTAGACCTTCACATGCGCTTCTTCCTTAGCCAGAAAGGCTCTTCTCATGATTCTTTTTGCTAGCTATTTCTATTTAACATTTAAGTCTCAGTTAATTTTCACTCCTTCAGAGAGATCTTGTGTAGCCATACATTTAAATTATGTCTTTCCTAATATTGTCATTTAAAATATCTCGTTCTTTTACTTTATATTACTTAAACAATTTTCTATACATATGTGTGTGTTTATGTATGTCTCTGTGTGTGACAGAGAGAGCAAGAGCGGAGGAAATTAATGTTTCTCTTCTAATAAGATGATAATATATATAAGAACCACATCTGGTTTTCAATCTCAGTTTCTCTAACAAATACATATCTATCAATAAGTGAATCTAAAAATCAAGTGAATAAAAAAATCTGATGAATAGAGTAAACTGGTGAATAAATAGAACTGACAATTCTCGGGGTGGGGGAAGGGATGTGGGGGTGTGGGAAGAGACTAGACGAAAATCATACACCTATGGATGAGGACAGTGGGGGGTAAGGGTAGAGGGTGGGGTGGGAACTGGGTGGAGGGGAGCTATGGGGGGAAGAAAGAGGAACAACTGTAATAATCTGAACAATAAAGATTTATTAAAAAAATAATCACATCTGGTTTTCAATCTCAGTTTCTCTACCATGTATTTTATAATGCAAATAAGAAGGAGAAATATTTTTTCTGCTGAATGAATATGGAAGTAGACCATGTCCACTGTCAGCAGAATAGTTTTACAAAATGTAGGACAAGAAATATTATACTCACTTTCAAGGTGCTTAACCATGCAGATAGTTGAATCGGCAAGATAGTTGTTCAATTTAATAAGAATACATGTTGAAATTAGAAATTTGAAAAAAGTAAAGAAATAGTAGAAAAGTAAAGACCACAATACTGCTTCTCACTTCCCTCCCACAAAAACCAATCATGTTCATTTTTCTTTCTGACATGTTACTGTGTGTGTATGCAAGTGGGCTATAGTTCATCTATTCAAATAAATTTATTGAAGGCTATGTGTTCAGCACTGAGTTGGTTTTGGGATATATAAGAGTATCAGGCCCTGACTGGTTTGGCTCAGTGGATAGAGCGTTGGCCTGTGGACTGAACGGTCCCAGGTTCGATTCCAGTCAAGGGCATGTGCCTTAGTTGTGGGCACATCCCCAGTAGGAGATGTGCAGGAGGCAGCTGAATTGATATTTCTCTCTCATTGATGTTTCCAACTCTCTATCACACTCCCTTTCTCTCTGTAAAAAATTAATAAAATATATTTTTAAAAAAGAGTATCAGAAAGCTCATTGTCCTATAGTAAAAATAGGATTCAAGCCGAAACCGGTTTGGCTCAGTGGATAGAGCGCTGGCCTGCAGACTGAAAGGTCCCAGGTTCGATTCCGGTCAAGGGCATGTACCTGGGTTGTGGGCACATCCCCAGTGGGAGGTGTGCAAGAGGCAGCTGATCGATGTTTCTCTCTCATTGATGTTTCTAACTCTCTATCTCTCTCCCTTCCTCTCTGTAAAAAATCAATAAAATATATTTTAAAAAATAGGATTCAAATGCTAATACACAGCACTTAGATATTGCATTAAATCAGATTTTTTTTATTTTTTAAGAAAAGGAACATTTTCTGTTTAAATACCAATCACTGAAAACAAAGCTTTAATGTGAGTTAGTCTCAAAAGGCCCAGGATCTCAGGACTTTGAGAACCAGGCTTTTGGAATAAACTAATATAACTACCAGGAATAGTTTCTTGTCCTGTGAGGGATGGAGATTAACACTGAGGATGCTATAATCTTCTAGCCTAAAGCTCTGCTAAATCCATTTTAATTTCAAAACCATATGATGACCTGACATAGTACGTGGTGGGCCCTCTTATTGAGATTTTAAAAAAATATCCAAGTAGATAATAATTTATTTTGTCTGTACCACAATCTATATAGTTTTTAATAAGGGTTGTGGATGAAAATTATAAAATTAAGCTAGATCTATGACCACTTCAACAGTCCCATCTTGTAGTTTGGATTTTAAAAATATTTTCCCAGCATAAATGAAGCATCGAGATGTTTTTTTCTCTATTTTCTTTGAAAAATTAGTCTCATAGGACCACTCCTCATACTCCTATTTGCACAAATCTGTTAATTAACTGGAATCATATTTTTATCTTTTTGCCTCCCTCATTAAGTTAAGATAGAGGTTGTATCTTTATTTCAGTGAGGCAAACAGGCATATAACATACATTGAATAAATTATAAAGAAAGATGAAAGCTATCATATGCTGTTTTTATATTGTAAAAATTAGAAATATAATTTTTAGAACACAATGACACATTCCTTAACATCTTTTGCAGAAAATAAACCCAAACCAAAATAACACAAAACAAACACCCCCTACCACACCCCCTGAAAAACTAAACAAAAAACAATCAGACATCAGTCATGCCCTGTGCTGACAGTATTTAAAAACTCATTAGTTGGAAGTCCTTGGTTTAGATTAAGGAAAAGCACTAAGAGAAACAAAGAGTTTTAGATCAATATCTCCCCAATTCTGTGTAACCTTTTTACTCTTGGATATGTCATGACATATCCTAGTTTCTTCCTGGCCAATAGCTCTTTCCTCCACAAATGACAGTAACCTGGGGTCCTGCATAGAAATTTCTGAGAATATCCTCAGGATGGCATGAAAACCTGGGGATTCTGATCTAGTTTGGTGGGAAGGGTGGGAATATAAGCCAATCTCTCTGTAAGATCTATAGATTTTCACAATTAGCCAGGTGTTGGGAGGTTTCTGTTCTGAAGGAAATTCATACACCAAGGCCATCAAGATGAAAAATGCTTGTTGATGTGACTCCCTCCTCCCATGTTTGTGTCTTCTTCAGGGTTTTTTTGTTTTTGTTTTTGTTTTTTTAAGAGAGAGCTGCACCTATGCTGACATTGTGATACATGTACTAGTACCTGTAAGGTCATCAGTGGGCCAGGACCCCAGTTGGCATGCCTTGCAGGTGTACTCGTCAGAGACATACTCGTTCTCTTTACATGGTGTACAGGTCCAACAGCAGCTGACTTCTCCCTTCCGGATCACCTAAGGCAAATATTTAAAATTCTGATTATTTCTTTGCATAGATAAAAATCCAGCAAAATCTTTTATTCAAATGTATTGCTTTGTACAGCAGAAAGGGCTTTACATAAACTATTTCAAATGTTACCAGATGGGCAGTGTAAGTATTAATGTTCTCATTAAATAATTAAAGAAACAGGTTAAGTAACCAGTTCAGTATCATAACATTGCTGGTGATAGGGTCAAGAATTAAATTAAATGTAAGTCTTTGGATAATTAGCTTTAGATACCTGTATTTCATTAAGTGCCTGTGTTTTGTTCACATATAAATACACATACATCTACATATATGTGTATGTAACTGAATTTTCTTGAGACTGTGCCTCTCTTTCCCTCAAATTAAGATTTTTTCCTCTCTATAGTTACCTTGGGTTCCTTCCAAAAGCTAAACATTTTAGCAAAAAACATTGTACATCTGCTAAAGTTAAAAAAAATCTATCCATATTGTTAAAAAAATATTTAGGAATTTGTATTGAATGAAGAGGGAGAATTTGAACTTTTTGGGAGCTCATCACTTGGTATCTGTTTCTACTAAAAATCTGGTTCAATAATTCAGCCATTCCTTCTTATTCTAGTAGCTTTCATTTGCTTGGGATGAAGGTGGATAGGGATAAGGTCATTGAGACTATTATATACCTCTTCATCTATTTGATTTTTTTAAGGCAATAGAAAAGAACTGAAGCAATTTGACAGTTGAAAGAGTCTCAGATGTTATTTTTTAGAAATGGACGCCTTTTCCCACCCCACTCCTGGTTCATGAATAGCCTCTGTGGAATAGAGATAGATTCATTAAACATTCCTATAAATAATTAAAACTGTGATTAATAACCAGCAATAACCAGACACAGCCATGACTACACTCTATTTCTTGTCTTAGTTGCTGACTCTATTAAGGATCTTTGCTAATAATAATGTCTAGATATTTATAGCCAAATACAGTTGTAAGGTGGCACCTCTTTCTTATTTTGTAGCACCCTTGTGCTGGCTCTCCACACTGCAATGATACAAGTAGGGCAAGCATGTCAAACTCAAAGGCTAACATGGGCCAAATAAGCAAGGCATGCAGCCCGCGGGCCATGAGTTTGACATGCTTGAAGTAGGGAATGGTGACAAAAAAGGTTAAAATGTCCTTTCTTTATAATAACCAGAGAAGTGAGACAAAATTGCTAACTAGACCTGTTTAATCGAGCTAAAGTATTCTCTCTAATGATATTGACTATTTTCTGGCTATTTAGTGAATTCCATATGCTGTTATCTCTGTATCACAAAGCTGATTTTATTTTACTCATTTTCCCCCCCCCCCCCCCAGGGAGGAAATGGAGGCATAGTGAGCTCATACAGCATATATGGGTAAATGAAGAATCAAACAGTGGCTGTTGGACTTCAAGACGCGTGTTCTTAAACACTGAGGCTTTTTGGTCTATATAAAGATTGAGTTCATGATATTTTGGAAGATGTACTGGCCTGGGAATCAAGAGGTACCATGGCTCTAGTCTTACTTATACCCACTAAGTAGATATGCATCCTGCAGCTGATCCTATTTCTTCAAACGAATACCATTGCTTTTAAAATACACCTACCTTTGTAGGGTTTCCTGAGGATTTCTTTTTAATGTTGTAAAATACAGTAGCTAAAACTAAATGCCCACTGAACTTTTTCAGAGATCAATTAATGGACAGCCTGGTCAAATTCAAAACCCTTTGATGTACAGTTTTATAAATGGAACTATTCTACCATCCGGCAAAGTTTAATAAAAAACCTGCCTAGATGGATAGTATGTAATTTGTGCACTTGTCTCTCTTTACTAAAATACACTCAGGAATCTTGTTCCAATAACAGAATTTAAGGATTAAAAAATACCACAGTGATTTGTAAACTGTAGAATGCTAAAAATGTTAACTGTTTTACTAGTAGTGTGCATATAAATATTCATCCAGAGAAATTAATTTCATTTTTGGGGTAATTTCAACCACACTGGTAAAAATGGTAAAACTATCATTGGACAAGTACTAGTAATGCAATCAGACACATTTCAAATACTGAAGAATTCTCTTTCTTAGCAGGGCCTGGCAAACAAAAGCAGTTGCATTTTTCCTTCTAGAAATATGCTGACTTCCTGTGGTTCAATTCATACTGGTTTGTGAATTTCATTTTTTTTACCAGAATAAGTTTATGCCCTTCTCCAAGATTAATTCAAATATTACAATATTATTTTGAATCCGTGGTGACAAGTAATATGTCTCCTTCTGATCATTCAAAACTGATTTGTTTTACTTTATTTCACTTGTTACATATGTTCTGTTCACATTCATTTTGAATACAAGAGATGGTGACAATTCTCTTTCATAGTAATTCCCATTCTTTTTGAACATCCTGGAAGTAGTGCTGCTTTCTTTATGAATAACAATATGTAACATATTTGAATCTTTGCTAAACTAATGTCCTTTCATGGACTCAACTAAGTTAGTAAATCTGAACAATGCCATAAGATGTTGATATCATTAATGAAGTTGCTAAGTGACAACCTTAAAACATATTAAGAAAATGTTGTCAATTTTATATTCAATAGAGTGAAAATTAGATCTGGTTAGGAAAATAGAATTTGGGATTAAAAAGACTACATAAAAATTATTACAAGTTAACTAGTATTTAAAATATTATAATAGGGAATCAAATTCTTCCACTGTGTAAGTTGATCTTAGTAGAATGGGGTAGAAAAGTATATGCAGTTAATCCTTGAACAATGCAAGGGCTGGGGATGCCAAACACCATCTCCCCTCACTCTGCACAGTCCGAAAACCACATATAATTTTTGACTCCACAGAAACTTAAGTTGTCTCTTGGTATCTGTAGGGCAATGTTTCCAGGACTCCCAGAAGATACCAAAATCTGTGGATGCTCTCCAGTCCTCTATATAAAAGGGTATAGATCAATGCATATTATATAGGAATCTCTCAAATCAGCCATTCAGTATTTTAAAGTTAAATGTTCAAACTGTATTGCTATGAAGGGTTAAAACAATGTCCAAGAGGTAATTTACACAGAATAATATTTCTACAGGAAGAACTGGAAATTGTGAATAATCGATATTCTGAATGAGTCCATAAAGAATTTCACGTGAAGTGTTTAACTGAAAGATGATTGGCCAAGATGCAGACTATCATTTTATGTTAAAGGTTAGCAAACTTTCTGCAAAGGACCAGAGAGTAAATGGTTTAGGCTTTGTAGGCCATGCAGTCGCTACTGAAATCCAACTATGCAACTCTATTTACAATAGCAAATGTGAAAGCAGTCATAAACAATACATAAAGAAATAAACATTGCTGTATTTCAATAAAACTTTATTTACAAAACAGGCAGGAAGTCAGATTTGGCCTGTGAGACATAGCTGACCAACCCTCATATACAAAACACGAGGAAATTTTCAGATACTGCATAAGTCATTGAGCTATTTAGCAGATATTAATAAATTTATATTTATCTTCGCTTATCTTATCATTCTTTCTTCTGATCTTATGCTTACTAAATCTTCATGATGACCCTTTGAAGACTTTATAATTGATACTGAAATATTCAATGAACAAATACCTCAAATGTCTTTTAAACAGAGTGAAGATGTGGTTGATTGAAAAGAGCAAGCCAGCTGCTTTAGGTATGTATAATGCCTGGAGCATCCTATAGTACTTAAATAACTATTTGATTAATACTGTATTTTGATAATTGATCTTTCTTCCCCTAGGACATTGTATTCCAACAAATAAGCCCCATTTAATTTTTATTATACCTTTATCCCCTTCTTTCACTGGATTATTTCCTGTGTAGCCAGACCTCATCCTGTATAATAAAAGGCTAATATGCAAATCAACTGAATGGCAGAATGACCGGTCGCTATGACTCACACTGACCACCAGGGGGCAGATGCTCAAGGCAGGAATTGCCCCTTGGTGGTCAGTGTGCTCCCACAGGGGGAGCACCACTCAGCCAGAAGCCCTGAGCTGGGCAGGCGCAGCGGCGGTGGCAGGAGCCTCTCTTGCCTCCACGGCAGCTCTAAGGATGTATGTCTGACAGCTTAGGCCCGCTCCCCATGGGCCCAAGTCATCAGTCATACATCCCCTGAGGGCTTCCGGACTGTGAGAAGGCACAGACCGGGCTAAGGGACTCCCCCCCCGCGAGTGCACGAATTTCGTGCACTGGGCCTCTAGTCCTATCTAATAATAGACAAACATGGTAATTAACCATACCTTCGCTATGCCTTCCAATGGCTAATCAGCAAGATATGCAAATTAACCCAACCAAGATGGCGGCCGGCAGTCACGCAGCTGAAGCGAGCAGGAGGCTTGCTTGCTCAGGTGATGGAGGAAGCCAAGGTTCCCCGCCTGCTCTGAGCTCCAAAAGCAACAAAGTTTCGATTATAGAAGCTAAACAAACCCCAGATACCTGCTTTCAGCCGGCCGTGGCCTCAGAGCTGCAGCGAGCAGGAGTGGCTCTCAGCTCCAGAGACGGCAACAAAGTATCAATTATAGAAGGTAAATAAATCCCAGAATAAAAAGAAAAAAAGAAAAAAAGGAGAGGCTGGGAGCGTCAGTCACCAGCCAGCCTGAAAATGGCCCTCAGCCCCTCACCCAGGCTGGCCAGGCTCCCCAGTGGGGACCCCCACCCTAAAGGGGGTGTGGCCAGCCTGAAAATAGCCATCAGCCCCTCACCCAGGCTGGCCAGGTACCCCAGCGGGCCCCCACCCGTGCACCAGGCCTCTATCTTATATAGTAAAAAGGTAATATGCAAACTGACCCTAACAGCAGAAAGACTGGGAATGACTGGTCACTATGACACACACTGACCACCAGGGGGAAGACGCTCAATGCAGGAGCTGCCCTCTGGTGGTCAGTGCGCTCCCATATGGGGGAGCTCTGCTCAGCCACAAGCCAGGCTGATGGCTGCCAGTACAGCGGTGGTGGTGGGAGCCTCTCCTGCCTCCTCAGCAGCGCTAAGGATGTCCAACTGCAGCTTAGGTCTGCTCCCTGCTGGCAAGTGGACATCCCCCGAGGGCTGCCAGGCTGCCAGAGGGATGTCTGATTGCCAGCTTAGGCCCAATCCCCCAGGGAGCAGGCCTAAGCTAGCAGGTGATCATCCCCCGAGGGGTCCCAGACTGCGAGAGGGCACAGGCTGGGCTGAGGGACCCTCCCCTCGAGTGCACAAATTTTTGTGCACTGGGCCTCTAGTTTAGTATAAAAGTAGCTTTATATTGTCCTCAAACTGCCAGACTATTCCCTTACCTGCTTTTCACCATACATTTTGTGTTGCTCAGTTATTCTCTTCTATTCAATTTAGTAGTCTCCTGTTTCCAGAAGGATCCAAGTGAAGGGCTAATCCCAATTCTCATGTCTTCCCTTCAGTCCTTCTCTTCCTTGACATCTTGCTTAGATTGACCACTGTCTTACATGCCACCATGCTCTCTGGTTCTCTATTTGTTCCTCACCCTGTCCCTCAAGCACCCCAACTGGGGATTGAACCCACAACCTGGGCATGTGCCAGTAATCAAGGCCTTGATCTTTTGGCATTTGGGTCGACACTCTAACTCAGTGGTTCTCAACCTTCCTAATGCCACGACCCTTTAATACAGTTCCTCATGTTGTGGTGACCCCCAACCATAAAATTATTTTTGTTGCTACTTCATAACTGTAATTTTGCTACTGTTATGAATTGTAATGTAAATATCTGATATGCAGTATGTATTTTCATTATTACAAATTGAACATAATTAAAGCATAGTGATTAATCACAAAAACAATATGTAATTATATATGTGTTTTCCGATGGTCTTAGGCGACCCCTGTGAAAGGGTCATTCAACCCCCAAAGGGGTCGCGATGCACAGGTTGAGAATCACTGCTCTAATTGAACCATACCAACCAGGAATACCTTTTCTTCCTGCAGCTTCTTCAAGTTCTATATTTTTGGCACACATTTATCTTCTCTCTGTACTTTCAGGTGCAGCGATCTTATCACCTCAATCAGTTTCAACTTTAGCTATGTTCAATTCCTAAGTCTGTATCCTCAGCCTTATTTTTCATTGTTATAGATCAATATTTTCTACCACTGATTAGATATCTCAAAACCAACAAGCCCCAAATTAACCCATTGCCTTTTCTCTAAAACTATTTTCAGTTTTTGTTCCTGACAATGGTACTTTCTAGTTACTAAGAGTCAAAATCACAATTGGCTCAAACTTCTTTCTCTTCTCCAATCATACATCCAATTGGTAGCCAGGGTTTGTTGAGTCTACCTGTAATGTTCATCTCAAGCATCTCCCTTGCTCCCTTTCTATTCTCACTGTTTCTTCCACAATTCAGGACCCTCATCACCACAGTGTACTTCTATCTTGTCTCTTCGTTCATTATTTATGTTTCAGAACTCTACTCTTGAATCTTCACCTTCTAGTTCATGGGGCAATGTCTGACATTTTATTCAGAAGAAATTTCTCCCTTTATTTTGTATGAACTTATATAGCTCCCCTTTTTTCTTTCTTAATAAAGTCATCCCATTTTACATGATATTAGTTTTCTGTGCCCATGATGTTTTTCCTCATCTAAATTATAACTCTTCTGATAGTAAAGGCATCTAACTTACTTTTTTTAACCATTGATATAAACCATTACATTAGTAGGAGTTTGGTAAATATTCGTTAAGATAATTACCAATTAATGTAATCTCCAACTGTGAACTATTTCTTCCCAGGAAGTATGTCTTTAAAGGCTTACATGAATAGAAAGGGTGTGGGCAAGCATGGCTCATCAGTTGGTTCAGTGAGTTCAAGCACTAAGCCTATTGTGGGTCATACTAGATATCATGAGGAATCAATGAGAAAAAAGTAAACAACACAGTTTCTGACATTAAAAGCTTATAATATAAAAAAACAGGTATCTAAAATTTTAAACAACAGCCAAAGATAATGAACACTTCTGGTTCTGAATTTACCACAACCATTAAAGAAACATGGACTCCATTTTACCTTTATCTGGCCTTTCTCACATGGTTCACTGCACACGGATCTGATGATGGTGTTTTTCTTGGACCATACCTCATCATCATCCATTTTTAATTCTCCATTGTCCCAGCTTCCAACATTGATATAATCAAAATAATCTTTTCCCATTTCCTTGAAGTTCATTATTTCATACCTTAGAAATGAGAATGTAACAATTATTCATCTAACAATATAAAATCTCAGCCATGAAAAATCGAAAGATTTCATTCCCAAACAATGTAAAAAATTAGTGATACTGGAATTTTCCATGACAGTACACTAAGACTAACAACAACAAAAAACCTGTCGTTTTCACTTTGTCTTCAGAGAGACTATTTTTTTTTTAATTCAAGCATACACCTGAAATAGAAAGTAATCCCATCTGAGAAGGTGACCTGACCTTAGCAGGATGAAAGACAAGTTTTGAAATAACTTCAAGAAGTTTAAACAAGTACTGCTCTTAGGCTCCTAAAAAAGATAGAAAGGTTTTCATCTCCACTCAAGTAAAAGAAAATTTCCCTTTTCTAACCAAGTGAGAAATTTGGTAAATCTTTAATCTTCAGCTATAGGGAATGTGGGGGTAATTTGGAGAGGGCCTGGTTTTCCTTTCTTACTTTATCCTTTATCAATGGCAAAAGTCATTCTATAAGGATACCTGCAGTGATATTTAAAATAAGCCTAAAAATAGCTTCTAAAGAACCTCATGTAATGTAAAAATCCCCAGATATACTAGCACCCTGTGAATGATTAGCTGTTATTCTTATTTTGAGCATAGGGATAGCGATGTAAAGAGGGAAAATTGATGTTTAGGTGATTTTTCTTATATTAAGAACATTACCAGAGAATCATTTCTGAAATAATTTTTCAATCTGGGTACCTTGGATGAGTAGTAGAATCACTGTGTCAGTTCCTATAGACATACCTGTAGGTATGTCTTAGGTGCACAGTGCTTTCACATAGTACCGTCTGATACTCCCTCCCAGGACTTACAGGATTGGCAGATGGGCTCTTATGAATGCCTCCTGCAACCGTCCATGCTCAGCATACTTAGTTATCTGGAAATTGACATGGATGGAAAACTTTCTAGCTTTGGGGTTCAATTTGCAGATTGTCATAGTCAGACCAATACTCGGCACATAGATGCTAAGAACAAATCTGACATCAATCTGTTTGGACATTCATTGTAAAATGATACCAATCTGGTTTAATTTCCGATCACATGTTTTACTGTAGTATCTTTTTCAGAACGTTAACTCATTCTTAAGTTTTGTTGGCTATTCAGTGGCCAAAGGATAGTTCTACAGTGTTTTATTCGCAGTTGGTAACAATTTTGAGTAGCTGTCCAAATTCCATTTCTAAAACAAAAAAACACACCAATCTATAGGATACAAAACTGAGTCCTACATCTTTCCACTCTGCCAGTTACCCCATGGCTACTAAGCTGAGATATTAGAACATAGAACACAGGTAAAAAGGACTTATATATATGATGTCATTGGCTACTTCAAATATATTGGGCTTTTAGCTCTTCTAAAGGTGACTCTGTGAGCCAGTAACTTTTGAACATTCCAGGCTGGAAAGAGGAAAGAAATGTAGGTGTCAGGAGGCTTCTCTCTTTGCTGCTATTGATTTGAACAGATCTGAGGGTTTCATTATTCACCCCCAAATAAGCCATCAATCCAATTCTACCAATTCTTAACTCTGAAAAGATCTAGCCCAAACTGTTAATTCCACAGCTAATGGAACTGAAACTCAGTAAGGTAGTGAGTCTGACCTGATTGCAGAACATGCCAGCAGCTGAGCCAAGACCTAACCTCAGCCTTTCGGCTCCATTATCGAAATCTATTCGGAAGAGCTAAGAAATCAATTTCCCATTGTTTAGATATTGCAGAAATCTGAACTACTCTACATTTTAAGGCTATTATTGCTATAAGCATGCCTTTTTTTTCTATAGGAGAATTAGTGAAAAGTGAAAGGATTTAGTTTTCAAAAAATAAACATGAAAAAAATTTTACCACTTCTTTAACTGGCCATAATTTCAGGATAAATATCCCGAAGATTTTAAAATATTAATTGTCTACATGGCTAAAAAATCTAAAATACATTTTAACCAAAAGGAAAAAATGTGTTCTATTAAAGCATAAACAGAAACTAAAGGAAAGCAGGGCTCAGTTACAGAAATAACTGAGTGATTATAACTTTCTGAAAATTAAAGCAGGCTTCCTCAGAAATAGTGAGGTTCTCCTTACCCAATGGGCTGAAGCAAGATTGTTGTCAGAGGAACTGAAACATCATTTGCTGGAGGGCATTGTAGAGAGCATGGGATTTATATGGCTACTAGGGTCCTCTCAGTCTATAATTCTGATGCCAAGGTGATTTTTTTAAAAAAAGTTTGTTTTAAATCCTTACTGGGGAATATTTTTCCATTGATTTTTTAGAGAGAGAATGTAAGAGAGGGAGAAAGGGGAGAGAGAGATAGAAAAAAAATGATGGGAGAGAGACACATTGATTGGTTGCCTCCCTCACTCTCCCCGACCTGGTCAGGGATAGAACATGTAACTGAGGTATGTGCCCTTGACCAAGAATTGAATCCACAACTCTTCCGTCTGTGGGCTGACACTCTAACCATTACCCCAAACCAGCCAGGTCTAAAAAAAGTTTAATTCTTAAAAATGTGGTAAATATTCTGTTAGTCAATGTAATGGGCTCTCCAAACACTGGTCCCTACAACAAAGTAATTATAATGACCTATGCCTTTGGGGTGGTATAATCACAGAGTAAAGGAGACCGCAGAGTTCGTTTGACCAAAAGTTATGCCTACGGTCTGTATAGTCTCATTTTCTTGTTACTAATTGAGTATGTAACCTTGACCGTTCCTCTTCCTTTCTCTGAAACTCAATTTTCTCCCATGGAAGTTAGCATGTTGAAACAGATCATCTGTATGACCCTTCTATGAACAGGGCCACATAATAAGAATCAGTGTGCAAACCAGCTCAGTATCTGCACATTTCTAGGGTCCTACCCTTGTTTACTACTTGTCACTCTGATTTTGTCCATCTGTTCCTCATTTCCTGACTTCTTTTGGGATAATTTGGGTTTTAGAATTCCTCTATTGGCTTTTTAGCTATTCCTCTTGTATTAAAATTTAAGTGGGTGTTTATGGGATTACAATATGTATTCTTAATTTATCTTATTTTTTACTTAAAGTTAATGTGCCACTTAATGTAAAATATAAGAACCTTGCCCATGTATATCCCCTTCCTTCATGTTGTCAAATATTTTACATTCACATATTTTACATTCACTTATCTCACAATATAATGTTAAAATTTTTGCTTTAAGTAGTCATTGGTCTGACATTGACTCTCCATGTTTCCTCTGTCCAATTATGGTCAGTTCCAGACCATGACAATGCCTCTGAAATCTTAGTTTTCAATGAACTCTATACCAGAGGTTGAAAAACTTTTGTTGTAAAGGGGCAGACAGTAAATACTTCAGGCTATGCGAAACTGCCTCTGGTTTGTGGAACTTCTCTACATTGCTAGTGTCATGTGAAAGCAGCCACAAAACAGTATCTAAACAAATGAGTGCAAATGTGTTCCAATAAAATCTTATTTATAAAGAGAGCAGACTCTCATTGACCTGCAGACAATAGTTTGCTGACCTGTAATCTATACCGTTGATGGTAAATAGTAAAGGTCCACATTTCTTAGCTGTAATTCCGAATTCCTTAGAGCTCTGAAAACCACACTTTTTTTTGTTTGTTTTTTTTTTTGTTTTACTTTTACCTTTACTTGGCAGTATAACAGAAGCCTATCTGAACTTACCTAGTGACAGAACCTGGCCCACACTGTCATGAGGCTATTGATAGTCAGTCTATTTATCACACTTCATGTGAATATTCATGTTTTGCTGCAGAAATATTAATGTGTTGATAAAGAAGTGCTGCTCCACAGCATGCCAGGGGCATTAGAGGACTATAACCTCTTGTACATTCAAACATTTTGAATTCTGTAACACACCTGGCACCAAGGTTTTCCTTAAAGAATTGTGAACCGATAGGACGCTAATTAGATGTGAGGTTGAAAAGCAATGATTCTAGTTTACTCTCCAATGACCCACAAGGGTGTGTGCCTAAGTGAGCTGCCACCTCTCCCAGCTTCCTCTGTTTAGGCTCTGGCTGTGGGACTCTGGCATTTTAAGGGAACACTTGACCACCCCAGGCTCCTCTGGTTTGGAATGCCTTTGATCTAGCAAAGCTGTAACTTTTAATCCGCAGAACTAACAACATAATGCCTTCAAATACATTTATCAGAAAACAATGGCTTTTTAAAATTGTGATTAATTGGCAGGGTGTTGTATATGGTTAGGAGTTGAAGCCCAGCAGGCTGAGTAAGAATATTGACTACCATTTATTAGACTGTCTTTGGGTGAGTTACTTAACCTTTGTGAGCCTCAGTTTGTAAACCTTAATCTGGAAAAGAGAATAATAATATTACTTATCCCATAGGATTCAAATGTAGAGGATTTAGCTTAGTGTTTGACCCAGAACACACACTCAATAAATGTTAGTTTTATTTATTTTGTAAATATAACTGGATTTGTTGGAAAAACAAAAAGTTTCAAACCACTTTTTCCTAAGTCTGGCTCATGCCCTCAGAAGCCAATTCTGATCATTTATTAATGAGTTAATATAATACCCAACCTTAGTAATGCATGGGAAATCTCTAAACAACTGTGAATTCCCAGAAATTGTTTGTAAAACGTTAGGTATATTACTATTAAGAGAATATTTAGAAATTTTATCTGAGTCTTAAAGAGATTCATGCTCCAAAGAAAGGTTAAGAACCAGCATCGGAAATGTATCTCATTACAGCATATTTGAAGGATTATAAATGAGACAGTGACTCGTTACGATTTTCCAATGGAATAGAACTGAACCATTTATTCACTCTCTGGTTTGTGGAACTGGCTTGCATATATGAAATGAAAACTGAATGGTGAAGCTGTAATCACAACATCTGTGAACAATCCCAAGCTGATGTCAGTACGGTGAGGATGCATACAGGACTGCTAAATCCATGTGTAGATACCAGAGCACAGGCCTTGACCTAAGCCCAAAGACTGAGCTCATTGGTCTACCTGCCCCAAGAAGCATTACAGCAGATGCCAATTTTGACCCTGGGTAAATGCTTGTCTCTCTCCCTCCCACTCTGCACCCTTCACTTCCTGTAATGGATAAACTGAATAGCCAAAAATTAGAAAACCACATGTGAAAAGTCAGCTAATCTTAGCTAACAGCCTGTCTGGAGCAATAGTCTTCACATCTCTAGAATAGAGAAAATATCCAGCTTTCCTCTTGGCTGCATGACTTGACCCCAGCTGTAACTGAGAAGTCCAGTTTAGTATGAAATGGTAAGGGCTGCATCAGAGACAAGCTCCAGCTTACCTCGGGAATATGGGCCAAGCTAACCCAAGGTGTAGGCACCTAGGTGATGAGTCCTGGAGAGACTCTTGAAACCTTTTGGCACAGTCAACTGCAAACACTGTGTAAGGTCACCCCCTGCAAGCGCAGCTGTCAAACATAATCTGCTATGGGAAGAGTACCTGGAATTTAACAGGGGGGAGACCAAAGGACCCCAATTGTTCTGCAGCAAGGCGGAGTGAAGACCCAGCCTTGCTACAACCCAGAATATCATTTCAATGACACCGTCTCTCATGGATTAAAAGTTCCATGTGAAGAGTCACTTAAGAATTTGGAGTATGAAATAGATGTGAATTTTGATAAGTTCTAGGCACTTCAGGACTTTCTCTGGAGGCTGACCTGTAATTATGTGTAAGTTCATATTTTCAGGCTCCTCTCTATAAGTAATGGAAGGTGAAATTTCAGAGAAAAAGGCAATTTAGTCCTTGAGAAGGGAGAAAGTGCTCCAGTTGGAGGATAAGAAAATAAAATATGACTTGTAACTCTCTGTAGGTACAGCAAACAACATAACAGTGCCTCATGCCTATTTCTGGAATACCAGAGATTGAATTGTTCCTGTTTCAGAATAGTTTCATGACCCAAGAAGAGATCAGAATACAGGGAATAACATGGCAAACAGAACTTGTTTTTGATGATCTATGATAACGCGAGGCCCCTGCTTCTATGTTTACATCTCTGAAATATGGGGATGATTCCAAGACCATGTTTTGCACATCAGCATCAATATGTTTCCCTGGCCACAGGAAATAGGGCTTTCCCTCTCTGTCTCTTCTCACTTTGTGATGTCGGAGCTAGTCAAACATGACCAGGATGCCTGGAGATAAACAGGCACCTCAGGATCAAGAGATGGCTGTTGTTCAGGATCTATTGTCTAGAGGGGAATTGTAACAATACCTTCCTGGAGAGTCTCCATTCTCATCGAATAAGATCATATCTCCGGAAACTCCAGTAAAATTGGTTTTCATCAGTGAGTCCAAAAGTTTCTGTCCATCGATGGGCTTCATTGCATCGCACAGGCCCGCGTAGCCTGGGCAGAGGGACATCTGCATATTGTGAAGGCCATAGGCCATGGAGTAGATCGCATTGATCACAAATCCCATTTTGGAATCTTGAACGTGATGTGTTCTCAGAGTCAGAGAACCTGTTGGGAAACAAATTAAGAATTAACTTTGAGATTTAATTCAACTATAAGTACATCTAAGACTCTGAATAATTTTGAATAATTAGAGAATGCAGTGGAGTGATATTATAGCTAGAACCAGAGGTAAAACTACGACCCAACAGCCAACATACTATGACTAGTAATTGTCTTCTACTTCCTGTATGTGTTTCCCCTCCCCCCCACCCCCATCACAATCCCAAAGGACCTGAATCCCTAACAGCACCAAGGTTCACTTACCCCTTTACCCAACTCTGGGAATGGATGCAGGATAGCGCTACACTTATCTACCACAAAAGTTATCTCAAGGATGGATTAATCTCCCTGAACGCAGCTGTGATCACATACCTCAACAAATCCTCAACAAATCTCCAGTGTCTAAACTATTAAGTTCTTACTTAGCTGAGTAAACTAGATCCTCCACTATCTTGCCTCAACTTACCTATTTAGATTTATCACCTGCCATTCCAACCTCAAAGCATATGCTCTCCATAAATTAGACTATTTGGAAATTATTAAATACAACATTTAAGTTCCATTCATTCATTCATTAATTCAATAAACTTTTATTGGAGTCTGTACATATATAAAGCTATGTGGCAGATGAGCTAGAGAAACTACAAAGATGAATTGAACATGTATTCTGCACTTAAGAAGAAACTTGCTCAATAATAGAGATAAATTACATAACTAAAGTGAAAGGTATAAGGTGGTAAATCTGTTATATAAGTAAGTGGAGTTAAAATCCATAGAGGCCCAAAGAGGGGGTGATCCCTTCCAATGAAGGGCTCTTGGAAAGTGGCATTAAATAATTAACGTTCAATACGGGTTATTGAATTCAACAGTTATGGAGTGACTGCTCAAAACTTGCTGAGATTGGGGGACATAATGTTGAACAAGAGAGACATGATCCTTGCTCTTGTTTACTTAGAGTCTAGAGGGCAGATGAGCATCTGGTTTGACAAGTGCTGAGGTAGGACTGATTCAGGAAGGGCACCAGACCCAGAAGCTCACTGAAGCTGAGCATTATGGCTGAGTATCAGCTGGATGAAGAGTAGAAGGGAAGAGGGTTCCAAACATGTCTGAAGGTACACAGATGAGCTAGAGCACACTGTGTTTGGGAAACTTTACAAAGATTGAAATGGCCAGAACATGGAATGGGAGGTAGGAGAATGGGGAGAACTGAAGTAGTAGAGGAAGATGGGACTGATTAAGTCACTTTAAGTTTGCTGTACTTTATTATAAGAACATGGAGATCCTTTATAGTATTTAAAGTAGGAAGGAAACTGATCGGATTTCTATTTTAGAAAGACCAATCTGGCTACAGTGTGGAAAAGATTTAAAGGGATGTAGGAATGGAGTCAGGAGGCAATGCAACAATCCCAGTGATAGTTGAAAATGACCTAGTCTAGGGCAGAGGACATGGTTATGGGCAGGAGTGTATAGGTCATAGGAGGTAGAATTTACTACCAGGCCCAGTGACTGAAGAATGCAGAGGAATGAGACATATAGGAAGAACATGGTAAGAAGATGAAAGAAACATCAGAGGTTTGTCATTTGGTGAAAAGTTTTCTTTAAGTGGGATAAAAAGGAACTCTTTCAAGATAGCATGGTTCTTGATGAGTTTTCAAACTATAGAGACATATTATCCTGTTCTTGATTGCTGGCAAAAAATGCTGACACTCTTAAATTTCCCTGAGTACTAATACAGAGGATCACTAGAAAAACTAGCATAATTAATCCTGACAAGTGTAAGAAGAGGAAGCCTGCTTCCTTTTCAAGACTCGAAGCTGGCCCCAGGCTGCCAGCCAAATCTTACAATTTCCTTCTCTACACTGAGTATATTCATACTTCCTCATTTCCCAATCTGCTGCTGGAAATTCCTCTAGGTGCTAAGTCAAATATATTGGGGGCACTTTTAATTCCTCTCTTTCCTTCCTAACTTCTCAAATCTTATTTGATCTATTTTCTAAAGACATCAGAATTAAACCATTTCATTTAGATCTACCTACCTCTGCCAGGTTCACGATATATCATTTCCTGCCTGGATTACAGCAATAGTCTTTTAACTGGTCTGTTTTCTACCTTTGCCCATCCTCCTTCTACTCAAGCCAATTTTCAACAAAATAGCCAGAAAAATTCTGTTAAAATATGTCAGATCATGACACTCCTTTCATCAAACTTAACCAGTGGCTCCCTTATTACTGAAAGAAAAAGTCAAGTCCTTACAGTGACCCAAGAAGTCATACAGAAGTTTAGCTCGTGGTGCTCCACCCTTACCCTTCTGACTCCTTCCTGGTCCTCTGCACTTAAATTATTCCTCTCTAGGCACTCTAATCTCCTCCCTGATCTTCAAATATGCCCAGGTGTGGTTCTGCCTCAAGGACCTTGTACTTACTGTTCCTTCTACCTGGAATGTGCTGCCTCAGAGATCTGCAGAGCATTCCTTCCCCAATTCAGGTCTTGACTCAAATATCGTTCTCTCTGTGAGAGCACCTCTGGATATCCTGCCTAAAATGCATTTCCACCCCTCTCTTTCCACACTTTCCCTATCTCCTCCCCCAATATTATTTTTCTCCTTACCACCACCTAAAATGCTATGTATTTTATATATCTGTCTTATTTATGGTCTGTCTCATCTACCCACTGAAATGAAAACTCATGAGATATGGGATTTTTTTCTGTTCTTTTCACTACTCAGTGCCTAGAACAGTGCCTGGCACATAGTGGGTCCTCAACAAATATTTGTTGAAATAATTAAAGAACTGTCCCTTCTAAATAGATCATTACTACTATTTTCTTTTCCTCCTTGAATGTACTAACACTAATCCTACCTACTTTCAAAGGCTCCAAGAGCACTTCCTTCATGAAGACCACCATGATTGCAGATCCTAAAATTAAACTTGCCCTTCCAAACTCTCTATTACTTTCTCTACTCCTCTCACAGGCACCCTGAATACCTTACTATAGCAATGTAGGCACACTTACGGGACAGAGAATTTGAACTCAAGTTAGTCAATTGCCTACCTTCCTCTGTTTAAATCTTTAAATAGAGGCAGAGTTACTCACCTGATTGATACTACTTCCAGAAAACTGACTAAAAATAGGCCATCTTTGAGGTCATCTCCAAACTCACTATCAGAATTCAGCAATGAGTGTTTTTATGTCTATTAAACATGTGGTAGTTGATTCTCATTCTTTTATTTTTTTGTCTTATTAGCAGAATTGAGAGATCTAGGTTTACATTCCTGTTTTATGTCTTCCTAGCTCTGTGACTTGGAAAAGTTACTTAACTCTTCTAAGATTAAATTTAATCATTTGTTAAATGAAGACCTTCACCTTGCAAGGGTGATATGAGAATTAAATAGGAAAGTCATAAGTACCTCACACAAGGCCTGGCACAAGGTAGGTCCTTTATAAATAGTAACTATATCAAAATGTACTAGTAAATCATAATAACTTTTAGTCACTATGTTTTATGGTTAAGACTCTGGAGAATAAAAGCAAGCCAAAGGTCTCCTCTGATGTGATGCTCTCAGGTGCTCATCTTTCAGGTTCTCCTTCTGATTTTTTTAATGCCTTGTCTATAGGAGACAGCAACTGGCACTAAGGCAAAACTTGAACCTTATTCACTTGCAAATAAAATCACAGTGCTCAGGGCATGGTTCCTGCATTCTTTGTTGAATGGGTGCAAGAATGAAAATTTGCATTTGTTTGGCAGTTGTCAAAATAATTTTTTGTGTGTACCAGTGATGTGCATCAATACTGTGTCCAAATTGTAGAGATAAAGAAACTGATGTGGAGACAGGTTAATTAGATTTTTCGAGGTCACACAGATAGTCAAAATCGTAAGTAGACAAGAAATTCTAGAGCTAAAATTAGTATCTTTTTTGCTATATAACATTGCTTTTCACTGGAAATATGCACTCCCTGAACAATATAATGCAGTGGTTCCCAACCTTCCTAATGCTGGGACCCTTCAATAGAGTTCCTCATGTTGTGGTGACCCCCAACCATAAAATTATTTTCGTTGCTACTTCATAACTGTAATTTTGCTACTGTTATGAATCGTAATGTAAATATCTGTATTTTCATTGTTACAAATTGAACATAATTAAAGCATAGTGATTAATCACAAAAACAATATGTAATTATATATGTGTTTTCCGATGGTCTTAGGTGACCCCTGTGAAAGGGTCATTCGACCCCCAAAGGGGTCACCACCCACAGGTTGAGAACCGCTGATATAGTGTATTGCCCTATTAAAATATTTTTAATTAAGTGCTAAAATTAGGGAGAATAAACTAGCAATAATATTGGATCTTTCCTGGAAAATGCTTTGTGTCTGTCCCCTTGAATAGTGCCCACTGGTGGGCCCAGGAATATATAGAAAGAGCTGACCACCAGCAAGAGCTTGAAAACCAAGGAACACATGTGTTTGTGCACAGTCTGTTGAATCGTTTGTTACTATTGAGTATCCAGGACCAACTGGCCTATTTGGGGAACATTAGGGTCTTATAGAAGTTCCTGGTGACTCTTTCCTCTTGTCACCTAAAGATTTCATATGATTGTAAATTAAAAAAAAAAACTTGCTAGAAGAAACTAATGGAACTTTAGCCTTTGTAATTTCTCAATTCACTTTGATACATGTATTTTTAAAGGAAGATATTTTAAACTGTTTTAGCATTCAGGCTGCAGCAGGGGTTCAATTTAGAGATATTCAAGTTTGAATTCTGCCTACACCATTCCACCTACTTTCCAGACTCTTTCCTTCAATTAGAAGAAGCAATTCATGGCTGAGCTCTCACCTTCAGGGGGCTGACAGCTGTGTTGAAATGTGTACTAACAAAATAAATTCTTTACAAAATGCTTTAATTTCATCAAACTCAGTGAACTTGGAGCGCTTTCCACTATAGATGAAAAAACGAAGGGAATCAAGACGACTGACTGTAAATAACTGGCAAGTTTAGCTTTTTGTATAG